ACTGTCACAGGGACCAGTCTGCCCATCGCTGACGTAGCTGGTACTGTCACGGGGACCAGTCTGCCCATCGCTGGCGTAGCTGGTACTGTCACAGGAACCCTTAAGGCCAAGCTCTGTGAAGTTGGCCCTTTTGCAAACAGCACAAATAATGAAACCCCCACACATGTGTTTGTGCTCTGTTTGTATTGGTTTGTGCTGTTGAAAGTATCCTTTGTGCTGCTTTTGTCCCCGAGATATAGCCCTCAGCCCCCTCCCCCTCCCCTACAATGGCAACGAGAATCGCTTGACTCCCTGAAAAAAAAAGTTCATCCCTCCTAACTCAAGCAGATAGGCATCGTCCTAGTCCTTATCCTGACCTGCTGAATGAAGTGGGTCCCCTTCTATTTGAAAAGCGATTCTTTGGGATTGAAAGTGCTATGTACTGTAATTATTTACATGTAATTATGATTTTAAGCAGAAAGGCTTTTGTATGCAAGTTTCTCTCACAACAGTTTCACTCAAAGACACCATCACTTCACATCCAACCACACAGAAGGGAGTTCAAATGGCATCTTTTTATATTCAACTTATGGCTGCCCTTAATCTCTTTTCTTATTATCCCCGAGAAGTGTAATTTCGGCCGCTGCTCCATCAAAGGCCGTCATGAAAGATTAAAGTGTCAAGCGGTAGAAAAGAAGACGCAAACTCTGATGTCAGTTCTTTCGCTAAAAATAGCTTTATAATAATAATTAGAAAAAGTTGACAACATCAACAGTGTTACATTCTGTGTTTAATAAATCACATCACAGTGTGCCTTCTCTAGGAATTGCAGTAGCTTACATTTATCTGTACAGTTTGACAAACGAGAATATAAATCGGACAAAATCAGTAAAAATATTATACCCTAATACAGTTGCTTTTTTCCCTAACATTGATCGATTAGACCCCTTTCCCCAGAGCGCTCGTCGCCTGCTTTTTTGTGCTGAAGGATTTCTCCACTCATGTAGGCGGCCGCACACGTCCCACACTGGCAAAGGGACTCATGGCGTAACTCCGACAGGGCCGTGTGTTCGGAGCCCACTCCTGTGCCAGCTGTGTGCACACCTGCGTGCTGCGGAGTAGAGCAGGGTGGCGCAGCCCCGGGGACCCATCCCGAAAGGGGGCAGCGGACAGCCCGAAGAGCTTGAACCCCCGATAGCGCGCGAGCCGGGCCCTGCCAAGCTGCTGTAGCGGTAACGAGCGCCCCGTGTGAACTGTCGGGGCGGCCCAGTGCAAGCGGAGGCAGACATATGCATGAAACGCAGCGGAATGGTCCCCGTCGTCAATGGCTGCTGCTCTGGTTCGCGAGTCGAGATTTTGCTCTTCCCTTCGTGCACAGAAGTGTCATGCGTCTGTCAGGCAAAGGGAGGCCATTGTTTCAATCACTGTCATCGCTGTGAGGCCTGCGCTTTGCTGACAACGATCCACCCCCACACCAGCAGGGCCAGAGCCTATTCTTCTCCGAGGACTTCGGTTATATACTTGATGTAATAATAATAATAATAATAATAATAATAATAATAATAATAATAATCTGCTTCATAAAGGTTGGGCTATTTACAAGATCATATAAAAAACAAAGGTGTATGTAATTACTCGGTAACTGCTGAAACATTTCATGGACACTGCAGTAGCACAAGTAGTTTAGAATGATTTCAAACAGAAGGCTTAAGTTTCAGCACAGCACTTACATAAATCTGCAGCTCACGTGTGTAGCTCACTGCCTAGACAATGCTGTTTTATGAAGATTCATTCCTAAGATAGCTTATGTCCCACAGAGATAACAATACTTTCCTTCCTCTTTTACATGTCGTAATATCCGTGTCCTGATTCTGAAATTCAGTCCTTCAGTATTAATCATTTCACACTTGTTCTAGAGCAGGGGTCTTGCGCTGAGACCCTCTAAAAACTTGTACCTTCTAGATTTTGTTCCAACACGAGTCACAGCATTCACTTCACTCAAGATACAGCTAACTGTTAATCGTAACCTGCTTAATTGTATCAGACGTCTGCTGCTAATGAGCTAATTAGTCCAACAGTAACCAAGAGCTCAGGTGGGACAAAAACCAGAGGATATTGGACAGAAGAATCACGAGATATCCCTGTTAAAAAGTAAAAAAAAAAAACATTACCTGTCAACTCTGCCAAGTAAAAAATAAGATCACAACACTTCACATTAAGTGTCCCTAATTAGTGACATTTTGAAATATAAATGCTTACTAACCCATATGTAACTTCATGGAGCTCCTTAGGCTTTGTGACTAAGCAAAACTACATTTCTGGGGAGATTTAGATCACAGTGGTATGAATCTGGGGTTGCCTTTTTTTAGAATGGTTATTTTGTTCATTTGTATATAAAGTAACATAGTGGAGTGAATAAGAATAACTCACAGTCATGTATTAAGAGTTCCTGTTCCATTCCTGATTGCATTGAAAACGCCTGCGGAGCTGAAGGGCAGAGACGCCCAAGCTAATTCTGGTCTAATGCACTGTAGCTCACCTGCTGGGTCACATGTAGGAGACGGGTAAACTTGACTCACCTCACAGGCCAATACTTATTAATTGCATTTACAGTTCCTTTCAGTAATTTTAACAAATGGAAGGTACTGAATGGAGGTAAGGGGCAATTTGGTTGATCAAAGTTCCTCTTAGCTGTTGTACTGTATAGGGGTGAGCCAATAGCTAAAGGGAGTACGTGAGGTATTACTACTCTTCACATTTGGGGAGGATATGCTGTAGGCTGGCCCCTGGGCTTCTGTGCACCACCACAGTTATACATTTACAGTAATCTTGTTGCAAATGAAATTAAATGAAGTAGAGCCCCCTTTTCAAGGCAGACAGTCCTTTCTCAGACAGCTCAATTTCTAGACTGAAGTATCAATCAACAGCAATGTGATTTTCTGGAGCAGTGGATACTTCACAGCTGTGGAACATTGCTTTCGAAAGTCTTTGTGCTCATAAAAGAATCACTTTATCTTGCAATCTATAAGCACTGAAAACCAACTCCATTTTGCACTCTATGTACACTTTCACTCTAAACGCAATAAAGAATGTTTTTTAATCAGAAACTGAGACAGCTGCAAAGTGTGAGCTGAGATGCATTGCAAGAAATGTGTTTTACCAAGTCCTGAATGAGGTGGAGATCTTTGGGGTAACAGAAATGAGACTGTGTAGTATACAGTACCTACATTCTGTTTTGTTCAATTGGACAAGTGTCTGTCTGTGTTCAGTTGCAGTCATGCCTTGGAGGTTATAATGAAATAATTATTTTTAAAACATTTAAAGTTCTATATAGCCTATAAGTATATTTAGAATCGCTACATAATACTGATACACTTAAATTACCGATACCCCTCTCTTAGGCACGTGTTGCTTATTACTAGAAAAAGTCAAAGCAGATGTTTGTTAGCTGTGAAAAAAAACAGAAAACATCATGACACGCACACACCTCCAGCTCCTGAATTCTGGAGAGAGAGACCCACAGACCCAGAGTCGCCAGTGTGAACATTGTTCATTTTCCTTCCTCAAGAACCTTGTTTCCTTGTGTTTTCTGAATTTGAAAGTTTTTCTTGGCTTGAGCTATTTATAGTTATAATATTTCATATATGAACGTATTTGTATATACACTATATATATATAATCAATCTCATACTACAAACATAGAGAATTAAACTGTACTAAAATATACATTTCACATTAAAATATTTTATGGGATTTCATTCAGTTCAGTTAGCAGGGTTACACGATTGTTTATTAAAAAGGCAAGTGACACACCCCTTCAGAACAGCAGTGCCCAGGTATCCACCAGGATAGCGAGTGTGACATTGTATTCTTTGTGATGGCACATTTTAAACACAAGGGGGAGCAGAGAGCTTCACCTTCCCCACCAAGAATCCATATTTGCATTGTTTCACCTAAAAGATGGGATTTGGCACACTTCGGCTCTGATCTGGCACTGATATGCAGAATTTTTCGCAAACATTAAAGAAAATTGAATTGTCACATTTGGGCACACTCACATATAAATGTAATGTATATATATATAAAATTATTATCATACTGTTTCCACAAGCAACTGGTTTTCAGTTTTGCGGAAAATATACCACAGTACCACAGTTATAATTTTATGCATATTCTGCTGTTTCTGGTAGGAGAAAAAAAGTGAAATATCAATAATAGTAATAAATGCAACAACACAGTGGATTAAAAAAAAACTCTCAATACTTGTCTGTTCACAGATACAGCAGATACAGCACTGCATCCTCAATAAAGACAGTACCCTGCACAGAACTGGGGTCACCTTCTAGACACCCCACTACGCTTTGTGGTACTAGGGAGATTTACACTGTGTGAAGACTGTGCTTGCACAGTTAATGGGATTGTCTTGAACCCCAACCACCACAACCACAAGCTGTTTTTTTATATACATGCATTCAACTTGATTGCAAAAAATCTTTGAAAGTGGCTTCGTTTCCAGTGATCCTGAATTCTGTGCTCAAGTGCTATAACAGTAATACTGATATTGTGTACTTCTCACAACGGATTTGTCAGAGCCTGGGAAGCGTGGTGATGGTGGGAGAACTGTACCTTAATTTTGATGTTAAGAGGGTCTTTATCACTGAGGCTCACTGTGTCCACAGTCCGCTTCCAAGATGTGGCAAGACTAAAGCAACTGTGGCTACAGGAGGATATTAAAAAATAACTATAAAGTATAATAAGTATCCAGTATATGAAGGCGAATTGTGCATTTTATATGTGTCCATTGTTAATTTTAAACACCTTGGCAATACTGAGTTGTATCAAGACTTTTTTTTTAACTGTTTTGATGTCTAGGAGCTCCACCCGGAGAATCCCTGAAAATCCTTAGAGTCCTCTTCCTGTGCCGCCGAAGTTTGGTGAGGGAATGAGACGTAGAGCGTGGCACTCCCTAGAACAGAGTCTGAATAAGCAGTACAGCACGAGCACCTTTGATCACGTTCTGATTTACTGCCTTTCATGTCGTTCATCTGTCACTCAATCAGTGGGCCAATTAAAGGGACCTCGCGGGGGACTGCACATGTTCCTTGTGCGTGGAACAGAGAGAGCAAGTGATGATCTGAATGAGTCGTCTGTTGATGACAGTCTGGTTATCCCTCTTGAGTGCTGTTGCATCAAAAGGCTTTTAAAAAATAACTGTTCATTTCAAATAATTTCTGTCCATGTTGTGGGCACTGGGATGTCAGCTTGGTATGTGAGGCTATTGGTTATTATCACTCAGCTCAGTTCTTTTTCAAGCACTATAACGCTGACGATCCTTTGTAGTTCCTTTGTGGGATCTTTTCCATTCACACTGCTTAATTTTGCTTCGTCTATTTTGTCTGGCTTTGTTAATCATTTCTCATTTTTCACTCTGTTCCCGTTGGGCAAAAAGAAATTCTCTTTCGGGCCTATGGGCAATGATTTAAATGTCTGTGAACAACATCCCTGCTCAAGTGTGACGATAGTGTGATGAGGCTGATTTCTGTAGCATGGTCTGAACTGCCTTCAGGTTATGGTCGGGGAGATATAACCTATATGAAATCATTCACAGGAACCTAGTTCCAAGAAAGAATCTATGGTAGGAGAAATGTTTTAACGTTTTTCCAAATCTTTGTCTTTTGCATAGTCAAGACTATGCGTTCCCCTGCCTTTCTGTTTGCTCCCTTACTGTCCTGCTGACAAAGTTCACTAGTAGGACCTGTGCGTACTTTGTCTGGCAAGAAGAAGAGATGGGCAGGGAGGGGCAGAGGGAACTGTGGGCCCAGGTTTGCCAGCTGTGCTCAGAGCCGGGTTTGGGCCTCAGGGATGTAGATCTCGATGCTGTCGGCACTCTCGGTGGCAGAGTTTTGCCGGAAGGACGCGGCACGCTTGGCTGCCTGGAGTCTCCGTCGAGCTTCCTGTCGCTGCCGGTCTCCCAGGTCCAGGGACTTCTCTCTCACAGGGAGAGCTTTTCCCCCTCTTGAAACCAGCATGACCCCAGCTCCACTCGCGCCTCCTGCCCCCGGTTTCTTTGGTAACGGAGGAGGAGTCTTCTTATCCTCCTGAAAGCGACGGGGAGATGGAAGAAGGAGGAGGATGCATGGAGAAGCAGGGAGCATTGGAAGGAGGAAAACAGTGAGGGAGAAGGTTGAAAAAAGCCAGAGCCAAGAGGGAAAGAGTCAGGAGTGATTGGGTACGGGTGAAAACCAAAGAGGAAAGAGAGAGGGCATGTAGACGGAGCACAGGCAGCATGAAAAAGATAGAGGGAAAAGAATTGGAAAAGGAGCGAGAGGAAGGTAAGGAAGAGGGTGTAAGGAGATTCCAGGTGGAGAGGGTGAGGAGAGGCAGAAAGGAAGGAGAAAGAGTTAATTAGGTTGTCTGTATTTGTGTGACACTTCAGTTCTAATCATCTTACTGTTTTAGGGGCGGGGTTTGGCAGAGAAAGAAGGGAGGAGATGGGGGAAGGGAAAAAGGGGAAGAAAGAGAGATTCTTATGAAAGTTTACCACGCTAAATGAACACAGTATTTTGTATAGTAGCGTCCTGGTTTTACTGTGATCATTTATGGCATGCAGTGCTTTCCTACAGGCTGCATTATGTGTCTCTACACCTCTCTGTTCTATGGCACGGATGTGATGAGGTTCAGCACACTCCAGTCAGCCTTTATCGCAGTATACCACAGTAAACTACTATGGAGGGATGAGACGCAGCCCAGGGAACAGAGGGAAAGTGAAGCGGGAGTTAAGCAGGCAGAGAAGGAGGAGACGGAAATGCTCTTGCTCCTGCCGTACCGCTCTCTCACTCGTCTTCTTGTCGGCCAGTCTCCAGCCAGCATCCTTTATCCTCAGCAGCTCCTGGAATTTCCCGCGCACGTCCTCCATGGCCAACTGGAGCAGGTCCCAGAATCCCGCCAGGTCTTGGGAACTCGGCTGGGGGTAGGCAGAAGGATCCTGGAAAAGTGGACAGGCCAGCGTACAGATGCACATTCACAGACAGAAAGACAGAGGGGGTTTGAACCGCTATGCGGTTTTTTGAGATAAATCGATCCTAAATGAGCGGCCCAGGAAAAATGATATCATTGTGAAATTGTGAGGCCGAGATAAAGCACACGGATCAGGAAGAGACGCACTCACCACGCTCTGCTGGCACAGCCGGAAAAACTGTTGCACCTTCTGGGACATCAGCAACTGGGCACTGCCCACCGCACTGCGGATCTTCTCCAGAACTGCAAGGGCAAGGAGGACAAAAATGCAAGAAAATCATTATGACCACACAAAGCTGTTTAATCCCTATCAGGTTTGCCAAGCTGCAGCTTTTCTTCATGTATATATTTAAAAGAGGCAGATTCACTCAAGTCTGTGAGATTTCTACCAGACCTGCAGTTTCTATAAAACATCAAGCCGGACCTGGTCCCTCGGTCTCGTTAGAGCTGTAAGGCCTTGAAGAAGGCTGCTATGATGGTGGAAGCTAAGTTGGAAACTTGGAAAATGTTGCTATCCAATATGACAGAGCTGTAGGAAAACAAACAGCTGGGTCACCCGAGGCTCTCCCCTTACCCCCGGCCCGGGCCACCTGCGCTCTGCTACTCACTCTCCTCGGGTAAGTCGTGCTCCTCCGCCTCCCTCTCCATCATCTGACACCAGCCCTCCATCCTCTCCACCTCCGTCTGCAGGAGGCGCAGGAAGAACTCTCCATCGCGGAGGCAGGGGGAGGCGCGGCCGGAGTCAGGGAGGCTGCGGGGGCCCTCCGATTGCCAGGCGCGCTCCAGAGGCCTGGGGGCCGGTGCGCCCGCGGAGCTGGGCCCGCCCTCATAGGCGTTGTGGTAGTCCTCGCGGTAGGCCCACTGGCCCTGCGTGTGCACGGTGCGGAACTCGCTGTACTGGCTGGAAGACTCGGGCTCCGAGGAGTGCCGCTGGAAGGAGCAGCCAAACTGCAACCCCTTGTCCTGCGTAGAGATGCTCAGCCCGGGGAAGCCCTCGGTCTCCAGGTCAGCCTGCACACTTGCTGTCACACTGTTCGAGCGCTTGAAGCGGGCACGCCTGGCATGGGGCAGAGCACAGGGCAGGAGGGCTGTCAATCATACCGCTTCTGTCGACATCCACTTAACTTCACCCTTTCCCTGTCCTTCTCCCACTCTTTCCTTTCACCTCTCCTTATTTCTGTCCTCAGTGATTTTCTAGATCCATAGTCTCCTTGGGCACACTGCAGCTGTGTGTTGTGTGCTTCTCCTACAACAGGGCACACTGCAGCTGTGTGTTGTGTGCTTCTCCTACAACAGTGCCCAAGAGATCAGCATGCCAAACACCCTTTATCACATACCCATTCAACACACTCTGCGCCATCCGCCTGTCCAGCACATGATACACATCACACCTGCTGCCCTCTCCCGGCATGACAAAGCACCTCCTACCCTCCCTTCCCATCCACTGGCCACACTCCCCCCTGTGCAGAGAGGTAGATGATGGTCAAGGAGGGTGGCTGTGAATCTTGCACACTGACAGGAGAGCTGAATCATCCCTTCACACCGTTATGTGCTGAAGAACAAGCGTGGTTTTGGCTCACTCACTCCTAACACAGTCATTCCTTTAGCCCAACTTCTGAGCCACATTTCCTTTTTTGCTCATATTTGTTCTGGCGAAATGTTTGTTTTCACAAATCAAAGGGAAAATCAAGTTGAGAGCAATAAATTAAAGAAACTTTTATTTTTGTAGCAAAAGTTGCCAAGCTGCAAATATAGTAAAAGGAAGTATGGAAATGTCTATTCATATATTACACAGGACGGACTTGTGCAAGACTCCTAGTTACCAGGCAGACAGGCAACATCAGAATCTACAGTAATGAAATTCAAACCTCTATACACCATCCATTTCCATATCCCAGACACCCCCGTTTCAACAGTGTCCTCAGCTTTTTATGACATCAAGAGTTGCATTTAAGTATCTGTTTAGTCACCTTGGGCTTTTTGAATTGGATGCAAGTGTTGGTCTTAGTTGCAAAATCTGTAGGAATCTAACGAGGAGACGGAAGCGAGCAAATCTGCAGAGAACGGATTCTTCCAGGACTTACCGCTTATCCTCCTCCACCTGGACTCCGATGGAATGCACCTCCCGAAGTGCCTTGCTTTCCGTGTCCGAGTCCGAGAGTGTCTCTGAGCTGTCGACCTGCCGGACAAAGAACAGCAGGGTCACAGAAATACCCTCTCGCACCCTGTCCACCACTCTTCTGGTCACTGCCATAACCCACTCACTCTGTCAGGTTGATTTTAGTTCAACGGCGGTAAGGTCATTCACAGTGTGTTGGTGTTTATTTAAAAGACCGATCAGACAAGTTTAATCTTTTCTTTTTCTTTTGTAACAAGCTTGTGAGCATGAATTAGAACTGGGGTCTCCAACCCTGGTCAGGGAAAGCTCCAATCCAGAAAATCCTTTAGGTCAGCCTAAACTACTTTTTTTTAAAGGATGGGAATACCTGTACGCTGTTGATTAACAGGTGTTGCGCTCAAATAAGGAATTAATGACATAATGATCTCTTATAAAACCGGCTTGATTGTGGCTCTCTAGGACCAGAGATGGAGACGCGTGCACGAGAACAGAACACGTTTCTATCTGTTTTCAAAACTTCATGAAAGATAATGTGATATTACATGAAATGAAACTTGGGCAATAGCAAACGCTCTCAGCGGAAACTCTGTTTCAGCAAGTATTTAGAAAGGGGCTTTAGGTGACAGACTGGCTCCAGGATTAGGCCGACTGGAGCTTCAGCTGTCAAAGCCCAGCGTGCTCCTGCTGTTACCTTGAGATTGTTGGGTGTGCGCAGATCATTCTGAGCTGTAGGATCTGAATTGCTGATCCGTCAGCCTAAAAGCTTTTTTACAATATCTACAGATCCTGCTCCAACACCGCTCTTTTAAGACAGTGAGTGATGGGGCAGCATGGTCTTGGGTGTGCTGCGATGATCAGCTGTACCAGAGGCCCAAGACCGGGATGCTCTGTCGGAGGTGAACCGACCTGCACTGCGATGGAGGGCCTCCACTTCCTCCCCCGGCTGTCCTGCTTGTGTTCCTCTGACCCAGCGCTGCTGCTCGGCCTGCCCGCGGAGAAGCTGTTCTGGGGGAGAGACGCGGACTTCCCCAGGCTGCCCCCGGGCCGGTCCCTCTCCCGCGAGCTTCTCCCCCCTTCCAGCAGGTTATCGGCGGAGTTACTGTGTTGCTTTGCTCTCGCAGGCCCCTGGCCGCCGTGGTAATAGGCATCCCGGGACCCTCTGCTCCCGTCCAGGCTCTCTGCAGAATTGCTGTGCTGCTTGCCGCGCCCCGTGCCGGAGCCGGAGCCGGAGCCGGAGCCACCCTGGTAGTAACCGCAACGGGATGAGCGCCCCCCTCCATCTAGACTGTCGGCTGAGTTGCTGTGCTGTTTGGCACGCCCTGCTTTGGGCTGCCCTGTGCTCTGGAAGTAGGCGTCCTGCGTGGATTCAGTGCTGCTCTGCGCGGTCACCGAGATGAGTGGCTTGGACATGCGGGGCGGGAGAGGAGGGGGTGCCTTCCGGTGTGGGAACACTGCGAGAGGGAGAGGGACACATGGGGCAAGGGGGGAGCGTTTGGTCAGGGAAAGAGAGAGAGAGGAGGAAAATGAGAGTGAAGAGGGGAGATTGAGAAAATGAAGGTGAGATGGGAGGAAAGAAGAGGGAAAGGGAAGGGGGAAGATGGGAGAAATACAGGATTTGGAAATGAATATGAGAGAAAGGATGAGACGACACAGGGAATGAGAAAGAGCGCAGACAGAATTTTTATAAGAAAAAGGACTGCAAGGACAAAGCGCTCCCTTTCAGAAAATTTAATGCACATCATTTTCTTCGACGAGACGGAACGTTATTTCAAACTGCACATCACAGCCACAGCGCAAAGCCTGCGCTGTGCTTTACGATTGTGCTACATCTGTATGTCTGGGACAGCTGTGCCGGACAGGGGGAAAAACATCACACAAATCTCTATATTATAACAACCTGGCCTCTCCAGCTTTTATTTCTGCCATTCTGAGAGAGCTGCCTGTCAGGGCTGTCAGAACTAAAGGCAACCAGATTGGAGAACATGGAATTTATCTTCTGAAATTGAGAAGATACCCTCCTATACCCTCTTTTATATATATCCTTTTTTTTCTCTTCTTAAAGCTTCCATCCTCACTACAGTGTTCGCAGCTCCCAGCATGACTACATTCTGTGCAGAGATGTACTGCAAAATGTGACACCTCCGCAGTTTTGAACAGATTTGCTAAACTTGCAGAAAGGAAGCCAGGCAGGGAGCTGAAGACTTAAAGTACTGAAGGAAAAAATCCCAACAACAAAAAAATCATTTTACTCCCTGGAGGGTATTGAAGAATTCCTGAGTGATAAAAGACGAGATGGAGACAGACAGAATCTGAATGAAAGGGAGAGAAGAAAAGAGGTGACAGTGCAGAGAAAGACTTGCTGAGAAATGAGGGAGAGAGAGAGAGCTGTGTCTCACTACCTGCCGACTTGCTCCCTCCTTGGGACGCAGCCAGAGAGAAGACAGGCAGACAGTCATCGTCCTGCGAGCAGCCGGCCTGGATGGCTCGTATGTAGCTGTGGCTGCGCATCCGAAAACATCCCGGCAGGTCCAGGGCGTCCACAGCCTGAGACTCCACCTCGCCGAACACCGACTCGCACACCGCCTCGAACTGCCGATTCAGCGTCTCGCCCAGCTGCGACACAGGGCGCAGGGTTATTACAGAAGCCTTTCTTCACTTCCTGGCCCGGGGACGAGCAACAGTTATATACAGGACTGAAAGGGCTGCTGTGAGCGGTCGTTGAGGAAGACACACTGGTGTGTGCTCATTGAAGAAGCAAAATGCCTCAGTAATGGAAAATAGAAGATCAGAGATAAGATCACTTTGTTGGCCAGATACAATTTCGTGCATTAGGAATGAGTCTTTTCACATACCCCAACTCTCTCTCCATGAGACACGCAGACAGGGAGAGAAGCTTGGGGTCGGAGCACAGGGTCAGCCATTTATACAGCACCCCTGGAGCAGCTGGGGTTAAGGGTCTTGCTCAGGGGCCCAACGGAGTAGGATTCCTCTGCCGGCAGGAGTAGGATTTGAACCGGCAAACCTTCCAGCCACAGGCGCAGAGAACTCATCAGCAGTAGACACAGTGATTCACACCAAACATATCACCTTGAAGGTCCCTCGGGGACCAGAAACAGTACCACTATCTTCAAAGATATGAAACTAATGCTTTCCGCGTATCACATGGGATGGACACATGAATAGCGTTTAATAAAGACACTGACTGCAAACTCTTTGCCAGGAGATGTTCCCCTTTAGCACAACTGTAACGAGTCTGCGTTTGGTATAGGGGACCACTGGCTTGGGAGAGGAAATAATGAGGCTCAAATAATGCGTTGCAGTTGGTGTGCAGTTTGGCCCATCTGCTGAGTACGGATGCATGCCCAGTTTCCAGAGTTCTAGCTGAGCTTTGTCTGAAACAAATGACCCCTGGTGGCTAGATAGGCACATTACAAGAAGTTGCCTTGAAGATTTTACTCAGTAAGCTGGTGCACAAGTGGCACTCTGGTTGCACAGCATCTCCGCATTACACGCACACACACATCCCTCGATTGAACGCATGCTTTGCACATGGAGAGTTACAGACAGTAGCAGGCTCACCTGTGAGCTGGTCAGCGAGCGGGTATAGCTGTGGGACCTGGAGCTGTTTTTTGGTGTGGTGCGGCTGGGAGGGTACACGTCGGTGCACTGCTTACAGGGGTGCCTGCAGGGTGGCAGACATGGAGCACATGAGATCATCGAGCAGCCAACCTGCACAGCCATCCCCTTTCGTAATGCCCTCCCTGCTTATTCCTGATTTCAGGGCCCGGTGGTTCTGCGCATGAAAGAAGGCTACTGTGTGAACGTAATATAGTATTTATATCAAAGCATGAGGTTTAAAAGGAAATTGGAAAAACATAAGGGAACAAAATTACAGGTTTTTTTTATAATAAATGTAGTAGGTGGATGCTGCACATTGGTGGTGGTGGAGGGGAGTCCCCATTACCTGTAAAGCGCTTTGAGTGGAGTGTCCAGAAAAAGCGCTATATAAGTGTAAGCAATTATTATTATTATTATTATTATTATTATTATTTTTAGTTCCATCAACTGCATGGGGAGTATAGGCTGTGCAATGGTCTATTATAGTGGTCCTCGTCACCGTTCAATCTATACAACGTTGAACGTTTTAAAGGAGGTAATGAGCGTCTTCGGTGAGCCCCAGAAAGGAAAGCACACGGTGGAGGGTACTTGATCTGAGAGGCCGGAGAGAAAATGGCGGGCGGGGTGGGGGGGCTCTCACTTGGAGTTGCTGCAACGCTGATCCATGCTGACGGACCTGCGGAGGGCGTCCCTCTGGGCAATCAGTGCCGACTTCGGGGAGGCCTTGGGGCTGGTGTCTGAGTCCCCGCTGTCGTCGTCGCCCATGGCCTTGATGTAGCTGCCGCTGCGCATGCGCCGGCAGGGGATCTCCCCGCCCGAGTCTGGGCCACCCCCCGGGTACCCGCTCGCCCAGTCGTCAGACGGGACCTGCGCCACATGGACAGCGGGATTGACGCAGGCGCGGGCATGCCTTCTCACGGGCATTGCGACTGAATGAGACGACGGCTTATGGGGACTTTGACTGAGCGGAGAGGATTTGATTTTTGCGCTGGAACAGAATATTGTTGGCACTCAACCTAGTGATGCAGAAATGGAAAGTACCGCCCCTCAGCATGACTCTCCTTGCACTGGACTGGATTGTGATCTCCTGAAGCATGCAGTCTCATTAAAACTTGCTATTCACTTCACTATTACAAAACTAATATACTAATCACTGTCCCACATTTACTTGCAAAGCTACGAAGATGACGGAAGTATTGTCACTGAGGGCTGTCCTTAGTGGTAAATGTACAAAAAAAAAGCCTAACACTAACAAAAAAAAGTTTTCCAACTGGACAAACACACTGTAATACAGAAAATCTGCAGATAACAAATGTCAAACACTCAGAAATGAGAAACTTGGCCACAAAACAATTTTTTTGTTAAAAAAAGCATCTGAGTCGCTTCATTCAGATCCCAGCAGGCAGACGGAGTAATGGGGCTGCGGCCGCCTTGTTGGCTAAGAAATAGATTTGCTTGATTTTTCAGTGTCACTGTGACTCAGAGGTAGCTGTTGAGTACAGAGTTGCTCTGTGAGTGACAATCTGTCTGCCTGTTTGCATTCTGCTGCAATTTCTCTGGAGTCCCGAAGGGCCCTGAGATGGGTCCCCCAGAGAGAGAATCTGTCTTAAAGTGACATGTTTAATAAAGCTTTTAATCCTAATTTCAGCGTGGCTCTGCCTGAGTGCCAGCATGATTCACCATCAGCAGGAATGCACATGAAAAACCCAGACTGGATGAGCACATATCAGGACACATATCTAATAAAGGGTCACACACATGTCTGCAAGCTATCAGAGGTTAGGAGACACACAAGCTCTCACCCAGCTTTGGATCTTGTGTCACATACTGGGATTTATAAATAAGAAGCTGCAAGTTGCGAGTGAACAACAAGATGTTTCAGCAGAGCTGGCCAAGGAGACGGAGGGAGAAACTCGGTTGAAGAATGATCATGACAATGAAAGATATGATTAGTTCTTCCGCTAAGTCAAAGAGCAGAACGCCATGACACCTTCGGTTTCAAGAGGCAAAGGAGAAAAACAGGCTTCACCCTACTAGGCCAGCCCTTCTCAAGTACAAGTAAAACTCCAATCAAATGTTAAATTACAGCAAGGACGGCACCTGCAGATATGAGTGAGGGTTAGACTGCTCACTTCCAGTCTGCCATAAAGGTTCTGTGTCTACAGGATGTGCTGAACTTACCACTTATGACTTAGGAACAGGGGCTTGTTTGCTGTTAGAGCTCATTTCATCCAGTCACTAGATGGTGAAAAGGGTTACAGCACAGAGTGCCACTCTAGGACTGTCCTAGCTGAGTGGGGGCGCTGCAGAGACGTGCCACAGAGACACGACAGAGTCTGCAGGCTGGCACGCGTGGCTGCTCCGTGGCGAAGCCATGCTGCTCGACACTTAATTAAACTGCTAATAAATTGTCCACCTGCAGTAGCTGGCAGGGGAGCTTGGCTGTAGTGCTGCTAGACTGTCACAGCGCCTATAATTACCTGCCTGGTGACAGGGCACCAGGTTAACCTGCTAAGTCTTAGCCCTATTTTAGACTCCTCGGCTATTTTGGAGAACTGTATTTCCATACAGACATGCAGTAAAACGGTTCTTTTCCCACAGGCATCACAGTGGCATAGCAGATGGTGCAGCTGCCTTACAGCTGTTCTTGGTCTGATTCTGGGGTTGGGCACCTTTCCTGTGGAGTTCACACATGGGCTTCCTCCAGGTGCTCCCCTCTCATCCTGCCTCCCGCAAGCTTGCGGGTCAGTGCTAAACTGCCCTTTTCCACAAAGAGCAGGCACAGGGGCCTCACTTTATTAACTGGCTCCCTCTGGTGAAGCTCTACTGTCTCCAGGTGACCCCAGCTTAATTAGAATGAATGGAAATAAGGGTCAGATGCAGAAGGTAATGGTAATTTCCCCCTGCTCACAAGGAACTGTGTAAGAGCAACCAAACATCTACTCCTTTTACACTCTCAACCTTTTTTGCTGTTGATGTTTTCTAGCCAAAAACCTAGAAAATGTGTGTAGCTGACTTACAGCTGCAGGGTCTGTAGGGTCAGAAGTGAGAGTGTGTGCCTTGCTGTCGTTCCACAGAAGTGCTTCATTTCCTCGCTCTTAATTCATTTCTTGGCCAGAGTCTGGGTGGTGCAATTTATTTGGAGGCGTCAGCTGCTTTGCGCAGCTTGCGAGTTTAGGTACGAGACCGACTCTGCATCTGACGCGCCGAACAGTAGAAGCGTTGTCCTGGAGTGTGGGACACAGGAAAGGTCCTAAGGATGGCTATTATCAACCTGTAATAAGACTGGGATTGGTTATTTGATCAGTGGAGTGTACTTTTAAAGGTCAAGCCTTCACAAACAGAAAGCAGCGGACTAGAAAGAAGGCATTTTTTCTTGCTCTGCGGAGGCAATTTACAGAAAGGAGAGGGCGAGGGGCAGGTCCAGTAGGGGCTGTGTGCTGAATGCATTATTTGGTGCAAAGGTTTTACCTTTCAGTGTGTCACTGCCCTGGGTGCAAGCACACAGGGCTCAGAGGGAAGGACAATGCACGGATGGCTAGGAGTTTGGTTTTGGAGAAATGTGCTTGCTTCTAACGTGTGCCCTTACCCCCGCCCCTCCCTGCGCCACACTTGTCCTCTTGTTCGCGGAACGAGAGACGCGCTCATTAACACCCCCACGGGCAGCCCAAGTGAACAATGACACTGCCATTGCATTTAGTAGCCAGTTAACGTCTCTCTCCTGGCAGCGGAGACAGTGACAAATTGGCTCCTGCTCCCTCACCAGCACTACAGTCACAGGCTCTGCTGAGAGCAGTCAGCGCCTCTTCTGATCAGGCCCGCCGAGCTGCGCTGCCCATTAGCACTCACCTCAATGCCTTAACTACAGCTGGGCACCAGGTTAGGAGTGGAGCGGTGGTGAGGGAGGGGTGGAAATGACATCGGGGGGCTGGTAATTCATCTTCTGATTGATGCTGACCTAATGAGGACGGCTGGAAGTCTGTATGCTGGCTCTGAAGCTCTTTGAATTTTTTTCTTTTGTTTTTCCCAAAGGGCACCCAGGGCACTTATTACTGCGGTTGCACAGGCAACGCCGTTGCATTTCCTGTGTTCGGTGGTGATTCCCTTTTCTGCCTCGTGGGGTTTATTAAAAATCGATCGTATGTTACTGGTCGAAGGCAGACATGTCGAGCCGGTGGTGTTAGACTTATTAGGGGCCTGGTATATCAGGTGGGGAGCTGCGTCAGCATGCGCAGGCTGCAAGGGAACAAGTAAAAGGTTTATTCCCTGCTGAAGAGAGAAGAAAGAAAACACAACGTTTCGGCTGGGGAGCCTTCTTCAGGTGTGTGAGCCTTCTTGTGTTTTCTTTCTTCTCTTTTCAGCCTGGTATAACTCTCACTTGACAACTAAAATGAGCGGAAATAATATATATTGATAAATATTTATGGCTTTAAGAAACATTGTTCAGAGTTGGGGCAGTTTAAGGGGAAGTGGAAGCTGTTGTCAATTATTTGATGTAAGAATGTAAAAGAGCCATTAATAATAATGGCTATTTTACAATAGCCAATAATAAAGCAGGCCATTTCTGCTTGCACTTAAAATGTTGAACAGTATATCTTATTCCCAACATGTATGGAAAGGCATTCAAATGCAACAAATGCTGCTGATGCTAACACTCATGTGTTATATTTTTAATGCCTCTTAGTATATTAAGGTGTGGTATGTAAGGTAAGGTACAGCTATACCACAGCTATACCACACCAATGAATACTGATAAGGGCAAAATCAATATTGTGGTTCCTTACCCTCACTCTCTTAAAAGAGTTCTACTTTTTTATTTTGTGAAATGGCTAAAACCAATTATAATTCGAACGTACCAGTTATGAGTGTGTCTAACAGCGCTGAAACAGCTTATGCTTTTGTATCTTTAATGCATCTTTAAGGGCATGGGGAAAACTTATAAAACAAAAGACTACAAAACAGGCACACATTCAAAGGTAATGAAAAATCGTGGAGACGTGGAGTACAAAAGACTGTGCTCTTTCCCGTCAAGATAAGCTTTTTCACACAGTCTAGTGTACTTTGCCTGCATGTGACAGTTCTGTTACTGTGAGAAAGCCTGGGGACATACGGTTGTATGTTAATGATAACTTCAATAAAACTACAATTACCAAGCCATTGTATTGAAATGTCACTATTACAACAGTGTACTGAAGTTGCAGGGGCCTGCAGTAATATTGCAGACGTATCTGGGATTAAATTGCAAGCTCTCAGAGTTCCTCTGGGTATGTGGTCTTGATTTATCAGCGTCATTGCAGATATAGTCCCCATGTTTTCCGTGGAAAAAGTGGCTCGCATCAAAAAGGGAGGCAGTAGGTCTGGTCCTGTCTGTACTAAGGATACTGACTTTCCCCGTGCTCGCAGTTTAACATTCTGTTCATTCTTCAGTGAAACATCTGTCTAAAGGGAGATCAAACCAAACTGTTTCATGTCTGCCTTTACTTGTAGGTCAACATCAGCAGTACCACCGAAAAGGACCCCAAACAAAAACTCTTTAACTCACCTAGGACAGTTAAACATGTCTGAAACAAGGTGTGCTTTGTCTGCACTTCTGCTTGTAGAAGGTGTGCGAGTGTGTGTCGCTGGAGGTGAAGGCAGGGGGCTTCCTCGCCTTGCATGGCCTCTTACCTGTAAGTAATGATAGCTGCGATCCTTGGCCTTGCCGGGGTCCAGAGGCACCAGCGCCTTGTCGTAGCCTGCTTTGGAGGAGGGGTAGACCTCCCTGGCCTGGCTCACCGTCATGGAGGACCAGGTGCTCCTCTTCAGGGAGTGGCCGCTTTCCCCAGCCAGCGCCATGCTGGTGCAGGCCAGGCACTCCCCGGGTGGCCCTTTGCCTTTGAGGGCCTTGAGCGTCAGGTCTTGCAGCGCCCCATCCAGACCCTCGGGGCTGGGGGGCACCCCTCCCCTCCCGGCTGCCATGCCCCCCGGCACCAGGAAGCTGCTGTCGCTGTCGAGGTTGTCGTCGGAGCTCCACCAGCCGGCCGTCTTGCTGCGGTGACGCGACTCCCCGCTCTTGCTCCGCTCCCGGCTCTTGCTGCGGCGCGGCTGGCGGGAGACGTGGTGCTGCTGGGGAGGGTAGTGCGGGTGGGCTCCTTCCTCGGGCCCCTGCCCGCCCCCCCCGCCCGCCCTCCGGGGGTCCGCCCGCGTGCCGTTGTACTCGCGCTTGGAGGGCGCCTCCAGGGAGTGAGACTTGGCGAAGAGCCGCTGGACGGAGTGCACCAGGTGCCGGATGCGGCTGGGGCTCTCGCTGCGCTGCTCCCCGCTGGCCGCCCGCTGGTACTGCAGGGTGTGGAAGCCGTCCGGGTGGAAGGGCAGCTGCTTCTCGAACTGGTCCAGCAGGTTAGGGGGCAGCCGCTGCATCTTGCTTGAGGAAGAGGAGGAAGGGTGGTGCTGCGCCGCCGAGGAAGAGGCCAGGCATTCCTCGCATGAGTCGTAGGTCTGGCTGGGGTGCGACCGGGGAAAAGTGCCCCCGCCGGACAGAGGCAGGGACTCGGGGGGACCCCCGGGGGGGTAGTAGGAGGGGTGGTCACCCTGGTAATGGTCAAAGGAGGGGCGGGGGTCGTGGTAGAGAGGCATGTAGTCGCGGGGCACGTCCTCAGGGATACAGTGGCAGGGCCCCGAGGACGAGTGCTGGGACAGGCTGCGGCTCACATGGTAGCCCTTCATGACCGGGTCATGGTGGGTCACGCAGAGGGAAGGCACTGCGGGAGGGGTGGGACTGGGCTGGGATCACCTGAAAGAGAAGAGCCAGACAGGGAGAGGAATCGGAGAGTCAGGGGGGCAGCCACGTGTACTCTCTATTTGCTGACCCTTTAGGCTTCAGGCTTGACGCTTGGTGCGCCAAAAATGATTGAGCAGAATTGTATGTGCTGGTCGACGTCAACGACTCAACTCTGGGAACCGAGTGGAAAGTGCTGGTTTCGCCAGCAGTCTCGTGATCAATCTGTTTCTGCCATCGAAAGATTGTGGGTGAGTTGGTTACAGTTGAACAAAAGCTCTGGTGTGCTGATGCGTCTACTAGAAGGTCACACGATTTATTACATCTCACAGAACTATCTATAGATGGCTCTCCTTAATATTACTGCTGTTTGAAGTCTAAGAGCCGTTTGAGTATTTTCACAAACAAGGGTGTATTGTGTCTGGCTCATAGCAGTGTTGAATGAATCCTTGGACAAACTGTGTGAGGGTGGCAGTCACACACAGGAAATCACGTCATTGTCTTAATGTCACGGTGGACATCCCCACCTCCAGAGGGTGCTCTAATCCTCTCTAGATAGTCCTTTTAATAATTACTTCGTGGTGTGTCTAGTTAGGTTTCTTATTTAAGTTTTCTTCCCCCAGCCTTTGGGCCTCAGCTTTGGAAAATGATTGTCTCACAGCCCGCCTACCACCAGGGTTCACGGGGACGTCTGAGGGCATAGGCCAGTAATAGTCACCCTGACCTTCTGAGACCATGGC